CCGTAAATTCAAATTTTATCACCAGTGGGATTCCCTGCTGCTTGGGTGTGACAACTTACCAACTACACTAAGTCACCACACCCTATGTACAGTACTTTTTCGAGTAGCATAAAAACTATCTAATATTAGAAATGTTAAATCCAAAATTTTAACCAAAAACGTGCTAAGTATAAAGTGTAAGAAGTAATAAACAGTGTGAAGTGTGAATAAAAAATGTAAACGCAGGGTTGGTTCTATATATACTTTTTTTATCGATGTTTTGACACGCGTAACAAAAATAATCCAATGTGAAGTGATAGCAAATATCGATATTGTATTATCCACTCGAATAAATGCGTTAATATACGTATTTGAATTTCGTTTTATTTTCCATTAAATTTTTTTGCAACATTATATTTGCATCCCGATCCATAAGTATGCAGGTATTCTGGCTTCACTCCATATTACTTAACCAAATCAAAAGTTTTCGATAATACTCCGTAATTGTTTGGTTTGAAACAAAATACGTGTTATTACGAAAATAATCAGTCTGCATAAATGATTAACTGGTCTGGCGCATCTCAAAATCAAATTTCGGTCTAACGCAATTCCACATGATATTGTCAAAAAAAAAAAAAAAAAAAAGATGTATAACCTAAAAGAAATAAGCATATGAATATAAATAAGATCATTAGTGCATTCAACCCTCTGTAAGTGCATATATAATCATGCGTTATAATTAGAATCCTTTCCAGTCCACGCTTTTTATACGTGCATTTAGAGTTCACTATATACATTAAACCGTTTTGACTAGTTGGCTATAATCCGGACCAACTCTACTCTTTACACTTCTATATTTTTCATTTAAACGAATTAAGCATTAATATTACTTTCGAATGAATTGGGTTGGTTTTTTTTTTTTATTAAATGACAAGATGAATGATACTTCAAATAGGTTGCATATGTTAATTAGGTACTATTGTTACAAAAACTAAAAAGTAAGAAAAATTCATTTCTTCATCTATGGCTAATAAATTTTTCGTCATATATAAAGTTCAATTACATTAAATCATATGAATTGGTAAATAATTTAAGCTCTGTACGTAAATGATCTTGTTGATGATGCTTGGTTCGTCGAGATGCTTGTAATTTTTTTTTCAACATATATCGTCCTCATCTTCAATCTCTGTTTGATTAGGTGCAAAAGTAGAGGTTGATGCTTCGGTGGGTTCTGGTGGTAAAGGTCTCTGCTCATCAACATGATATGGTATTATATAATTATCCTCATTATTCGATGTGTTGGATTGTGCAGTTGGTAGTTGACTTATTGCACCAGGGACTTGTAGCCCTCTAGCCAGTTTAGCGATTTCATTATCCAAAAAAATGACTGTTTGTTTACGAACAGTTTGAGTTAGGAGATCTTGATCCCCTTGTTCAAATGCATCTAAAAGGGCAGATGCAATTGCAGACTCTTCAGACTGAACAAATGCGTGCCTATGAATATTAATTTTAAGTAAACTACAAAAAAAAACAACGAAACAAATTGCCAAAATTTATAATTACAAGCAAAATAGTTGGAATTGTTTCTTAGCCTCGACCTCGTCTTCTGCAGAAAGTAAAGTAATGATGATGCTTAAGCACGTTTTATTTAAGCCCTGCTGATTAGAGATACTTTGGTATATTGCATTTAGTCGATGTAATATATCTACCGCAGCTTCATATCTAAATAAGGATTAATTAGTAATTGAATATTTATACCAGTTAAAAATCAACAACTTCAATAAAAACCTTTTATGTTTGATCATAACTGCTACTGCTTTTCTAAATGTGTCAATTGCAAACCGTCCACGATCTTCATATTCGAATAAGGAACATGCAGCCATATACAGTTCAATAGCATTGTCAACATTAACTGGCTCTAAAGCTCTGCGTCATGAGAAAATATTAATGAGAACCGATCAATTTATAATATGATATCAATCCCATCATTGTAATTTGATACCTTGCACCCTTTTCCAGCATTTCACCGGCTCGATCTGGGCTCATATTTGCTAGATAAAGGTCACTAGCTTTCTTATACATTTCAGCAGCGCGCTCAGGCTGTTTTAGGTGCAATGCTGCTATTGTAGCTGCCGATTCCGTAGTCTTTGCCGCCATAAATAATCTTTAAAACACCAAGGGTAAAACAATAGCAAAGATTGATAAAAGTATGCATACATGCAAAAAATAAACGAGAATTAAAAAAAAAACTTACGAATCGGATTTAAATAAAGCATCTGATGCTTTTTGATAAGCCTGAATAGCTTGGTCATACGATCGAGCCGCCTTGAAACAAGATGCTATAAACGGCAAAATTCATTAAGCGGAAGAAAATGCCGTTAAAAACTTTAACAATCTTTAAAAAGCTACAAATACCAGCTTTTTCGTAATTCTGTCCAGCAACATCCCATTCTGGTTTTTTAAACCAGTTCTTTTCGGTTCTAAAAGAAGTACGTACTTACACCTTTTGTTAAGGCCACAAAAACACAAAATATAAGATTAAAACTCACGCTTTGTCTCCTTGTTCCAAATAACGAAGAGCTTCTTGAATTTTGCTGTCTTCCATTGACGATATGTAAGATTGAAAAAACTATTACTATTGAAGAAATAAATGCATTATCTGCCTCATTTTCGATCGATTTTTAACGGATCCATCTGCTTAGAGGACGTGTCCCGACAATCTTAACCAAAAATGGGAGTTCCTTAAAGTGGCAGTTATTGTGATTTCTGCTGTACGTACGTACCGCAAATTTATGAAACAAAAAAAAACAAATTGAAGTCTAAACCTATCTTGGAACACTAATAAAAATTTTCGAAAGAATAATTTTATTAATAACATCCTTTCTACGTAACCTTTAACCCTAAGGTTTAACATTTGCTTTAGATACCCTTCCGAATAAGGAAAGTTAAAAATGGGTACTTACGTATATTGGTCTCATTACATATTAATCAAATAAAACGTATTTTATGAAATGAAAAAAAAGGTTAAATCCGTCTTGATGCACTACGTAATAACATCTTTCTTAATCAACACTGATCATAAGTTTTTATACGTACGTACGTACGTACGTATATAATACTTCATTATTGAAAAATGGGTTAGTCAATATTTGTCTCATAACTTATTTGTTAAGAATTCAAAAATCGCATAATTTCCGTGTTTCATAACTTTCTCGTGATAATGATGCATAATGATAAAGTATATTGCTATTAAGAACAAAACGTCGCATAATCATACATAAATATACATTATAGGTACATAATTATAAAAAATATATCGATATGCGCATAATTTACTTTTGTTTCATGCATGATTAACGGTTTATTGCAGATCTTCCCCAGGCAGTGTTTGCCATTTTAGGTCATATCCAACTTAATGCTAGCCTTGCCATCCCTGGTACGTACGTACGTACGTATTCTTGGTATTGTTGCTAACGCATCATTGCATGACTATGTTGAAGATTAAGAAGTTAGAATGAGTTTTGTTTGTTTATGAGTTCATTATTAACAGCTGTTTTTTTTCTAGAACGTTTATGGAAATTGTGGGCATTTGTCTTAATATTCGGGACATGTATTTTTATTTGTTTTCTGTCGTTTTTTTGATTCATAAATATATTATTAATACTTGTTTCTTTTTTCTAGATTTTTGGAAACTGTTGGGTATTTGTTTTGGTAATTTTGAAAGGTAATTTTAAGATTTGTTCTTATTTTTTTTGCTTATTAATTTTTTTTTTCCTAAGCTTTTTAGAGCATTTTTGAACTTTTTAAAATTTTGTAAAGCATATGACTTGTAAATTTGGATGTATAGTTTTATTTTTTTTTTGTTGTTTTTTGTCTTGTA